TCTCTTCATTATTTATGGTCACTGCCATATCTATTCATTTTCCTGTCTTCGTTCTCGTATTCATTTAATTTTGAATCAATATCCACTATTCGCTGTTAAAAATAGCTTTTCAAATGTCACTATATTGTTTATCGTTGATGATACTAAACCTTTCGAAAGTACTTTTTTTGAACGCGCCACTCAAGCGCTTCCTAATCTAAAAATATTGGATGTATTCAATGAATTTGAACAACAAGAGAAAATAAAGATAGTAACACATTTGATTGAATTTCCTCATTTACTTGCACTCATTTTGCATAATATTCACACGGATTATGCAGAACAACTTTTATGCCGAAGTCGTCTTCGACAGTTGGTCGAGCTCGTCATTCGTAGTGATTCAACATTAATCATAATGACTGACGATAATCAACAAGCTAGACGCAATTGTTCAACAGTTAAAACACTTCAAACCGTTGAACCATGGATTGAGTCAACATATGATCAGTTAACGTTTTCCCCGTTAGTTTCAAATTTTCAGAACGTATTCAAACAATGAAACAGAATCAATTTATATATATCTCTGTATTAATTGTATGTGCTTTGTTTATCAAAAGTCAGTGTAAAGTAATCAATACAAATATGCGTAGTAGTTAGTTTCTTGTGTAATAGAATTTGTGGGTATGGATGTGAATTCTAGTCTTTTCTTCACCCATATCCTTAATACTGACTTTCCTTATGAGATAATATTGATTGAACTACATTTAATACGCATAAAAACTCAGAACCAATAATAAAAAATTTGATGTTTTATGAACATAGTCTACTTTGGATAAAATTTTTTTTATAACCATCTCCTGACAAAGTTCGAAGGGTCAAGCCATTGTTAGATTATCTTTATTGGAGAAAATTATTGAATTCCTTTGCTTTTTTTTGTCTCGAGAATTCTAAGTTACATATATATCGAGTTATGAGCTGAGAAATCTAATTAAAAAAAAGTATAAGATAAACTATTGCTTTTGTAGATTTTATTGAAAGAATATAGAACTATTTCATGAAAAAACTAATTTTATACCAGAGTTAAAGATTTTATTGCATATTAAATGATAGTTGTGCCATATTAATGATATAATAAATTAAACCCAAAGACGAAATCTGTATATTTGAATATCAAAATGACTATTTGGAAAACAAGATTGAGTCATTAAACGATATAATTCAACTTTTTCTCGAGAAATTTTTCCATAAATATCAAGAAAAACCAATTGTTTTAATTGTTCAAATAATTGAGAAAGATCTTGTTCAAAAATAGTTACATGTCTATCTAAATAATAAGTATTGTTATAAATTTGTTTATTTTTCCTTTTATAAACATTTTTGAATTACATACCGATGGATTCAGATGTTTGTAACGATTGTATCCATCGTCTTTGTGCAACCTCATGAAAGTATCCTGATTTAAAATCTGGTCGAACTTTAATAATGTTAAAGACAAAGAGAATTAAATAAATTTAAATTATAAATTGGTTTTTAAATATAAAAAAAAAGTATATTTCTTTTTCTTGAAATAAATAATACTTAATGATCAGAAAAAATTCTTTTTATCTTTTTTACAAAATTATTTCAAAAAAAACAATCTTATCTAATAAATATTTTTAAATGAAGTAAAAGTTATATATTTCCTTCTATAGTTATGTGATTCCAATTTTGATTATTTCCTAATCAATTTAAACAATTGAACAGGAAAATAAGAATTTTCTAAACATTAAATTTTATTCTTTATATATTAAATCACTATACTATTCATAAAGGAGTAGGGCGGATAAGGCCATTTTTTCGCCCCCAACAAAATTAACTTTTTTCGATCGACTTGGAGTGAGACATGACTCCAGATGATATTCGATAGGTTTTTTCTTGCATAGCTTACCTGAAGGTTTTTGGGACCTGTGGTCCCCCACAGGGATCTCTGGAAAACTTTTTACTTTTGATTCAGTTAAAACATATGT